GAAAAAGCCAACACATAAAGCATAAAACTTGCATCGGCTCCACGCAGAGCCACACGCAGCCATGCACACCTGTGTTCCCATCAGGTGAAAGACCTCAGGCACCACCTGTGTCACTGCAAGCCCTCGGGTTACCCCTAACTAGCTGAGGGGTCCTCAGGCACAGCCCCCCCCCATGCAGAGACAGCAGGATGCTGCTCCCTGCTTGGGATTTGCCTGTTTATGAGCACATCCTACCAACTCAACTGGGCCCTGTGCAGATGTGTGCTCACACAGAGCACGGCTCAAAGGCATTCAATGAGGGACTGGAGAGCAGATGAAGCTGCTTCTATACGGGAGAAAGCCAACAGAAGCCACCAAGCTGGGAAGCTGTGCTCACTGCTCCAGCAGCTTGCCACCCAGAGATTTCTTTGCAGGAGCACTTGCATTAAGACAAATGGAAAAGCAGCAGCCTCGCACCTGCCTGGTTTTCACCCCAATGCCTCTACAGATGACAGCAGAGCACCAAAGCACAGCGAGACGGCGCCGCTGCTGCCTCGAGAGCGAGCAGCCAGAAAGCTTTGGCACCAAACAGGGAGGGCATCGACCCAAGAGAATCCAACGGGCTCAAAAGCAGAAGGGGGGGAGGAGAAAAAAAAAAAAAAAAAAAAAAAGGAAGGACTCACGTAGTTCTTGACCTCCCTGCGGGCATTGGCGTCGATGGCGAGCCATCGCTGCTGGTACTGAGCCTTGATGTCGGGATCCTTGGAGGTGAGAGAGTTCTTGATCTGCAGGCCGGCCGCCACCCGCGCCACCTGGCTGTTGCCGGGGTTGGCCAGCACTCTGGACAGTTCCACCAGGAAGGTTGGCTGCGGGAGAGAAGGGGAGGAAGGAGCTGAGACCCCCGACCCAACCCCACCCAACCCCACCCAGACCCCCGCAGAAGGGCGGTGCTTGGCTTGGCTTCCAGCAGCTCACCCAACAGAAGGCCTCCTCTGCGCTCCCACCTGCACAGAGCATCATCTGAATGACCCACGTGGGTCCTGCGTGCTGGGATGGGCACCCAGTGCGCTGGGATGGGCACCCAGTGCGCTGGGGAGCATCGTTACTTTGTCCCCTTTTGCTTGGAGGCAAAGGCCAAACCCCAGCACAGCAATGGCTGCATGGCACGTAGGTGTGCAAAGCGAGGGCTGCTGCACCCATGCCACCCATAGGACCAAAAGCCCATAAGTACACAGCAGGTTGATGTCTGAGGTTCTGCACAACCCCCAGCAGCAAAACCTGAGCGCTGATCCAGCTGCAGGATACGCTCTGCCTCCCAAGGAAACCTTCCTAGGGAGCACAGCTGCACAATATTTGGGCTTCCCCAAAGATAAAGACCACAGGGCTGCACGCAGCACAGCCCTCAGCTCCCTGCAACGGGGTGCAAGGGGCACACAGAGCTGGGGAGCAGCAGGAATTGCTGCCTTCGAGGCTCAGATTTGATTTCAGGAGGAGGAAACGCAACGTTTTGCAGCGCTGCTCTGCAAGGTTTCGTCCCATCGCCTTCCCAAAAGGGGAGGTTTGGGAAGCGGGGAGGTTTGGGAAGCGGGGAGGTTTGGGAAGCGGGGAGGTTTCCCTATGGAAGGATGGAGTGCTGTGGGGTGGGGAGATGGGGGGGAGGTGTGGAAGTGAGGGGTCCCAGCTCTGAGCAGAGCCCTATGGAGGGCTGCCCCCCGGTGGGTGGGGTGGGGAGGGGGGGAGGATATCTCATATGATGAGCCTGGCTTAAAGGTGAGGAACAGGGGTGAAACGAACACGTTGCTGCTCGCTGCTGCTGCTGCCTTTAAGGGCACAGCCCTCGAACCCCACAGCCCCACAAACGCTTCTCCATTCTCCCCCCCCCCTCCGGGTTCATTTAACGGAGCTTTAAGGTCAATTCCTGCGGGAAAACACGAGGGGGGGGCGGATGGCAGCCTCGCATCTCCGGCTGCGACCCCAACCCCCCCCTCCCCCACAACGCCGGGACCCCCGGCGCGGCCCAACCCACCGCATCCCGGTTCCGTAGAACCGCAAACCCCTCCCCGGTCCGACGGGAGCTCCGCACAACGGCAGCGGCGACAGAGCGGAGTCACCGCACGGTTCCGGACCGGGCGAATATCGCCGTTCATCGCTTTATTTTCAGCTCTCGGTTCGGCGCGGCCCCGCCCGGAAAGGCCCCGGCGCTGCGATGGCCGCACATGGCCCGGCCGCTCCCCTCCGCCGCGCCCCCATTGGACGCCGCCACCGCCGGGAGCGCCGCCATTGGAGCCGAGCGGAGCGGGGCGCGGGAGGAACCGAACCGAACCGGGAGGGGGGGGGGGGGGGGGGGGGGGGGGGGGGGGGGGGCCGCGATGGCGGCGCGGCGCCGGGACTCACCAGGTTCTCGATGGCCGCCTGCTCCAGGAACTTCTGCGCCGCCTCCAGCTCCGCGCGGTCTGCGGGGGGGAGACGGGGGGCGGTGAGCGAAAGGGGGGGGGGAAACGCAGCGCCGCAGCCCGGCACGGCCCGACCCGCGCGGCCTTACCCGGCGACACCGTCTTCTCCAGGATGGTGATGAGCTCCATGGCGGCGGCGTGGCGGCTCCGGAGAGGCGGAGGGAAGGGAGGAGGGGAAGCGATGGGGCGGGGGGGGGCGGCGGCGCTCCGGGTTTTGCGGGAGGCGGCGGCGGCGGCGGAGGGAGAAAAAGGGCCGCGCGGGCGGAGCGGTGCGCGCGCGCACACCGAGCGGCGGAGGGATACCACGGCCGCGGCCCGCCGCCCCGCGCCGACGCGTTGATTGGTGGGAGCCGGCAGGCGGCTCGCGTTCCTATTGGTCGTTCGGAGCCGGGGGGAGGGCTTTGGCGGGCCGCGGGGAGGAAGAGAGGAGGCGGGGCTTCCGGCGGCGCTGCGCGCTGATTGGGCGACGCCGCGAAGGGCGCCCCGGCGGCGGCTGCGGCGGTGCCGAGCGGGGGGAGGCGGCCACGTGGGGGGAGGCGGGGGCGGGAATCCGCACGGCGCGGCGCCGACCGGAAGTGCCGCGGCCCGGCCCGGAAGTGCCCCGTTTGGCGCGGCGGGGGGGCTGTGCGGGGAGGAAAACCGGGAACTCCCGGCACCCGCGCTCCCTTTCCGGCCGTGCACAAAAAGGCGCTCGGCTCCCCCAGCGGTTCCCGTTCGTCCCGGATCCGGGCGCAGTTGTGCAGCTGCTCTGCCCGCAGCCCGGCTCCCTCAGCTCCTTCCCCGCGCAGCTCAGCCCCGAATCGCACTGCTGGTTTCTCCTCCCCCGTTGCTGGGCGCTCCGCGCGCTGCCCGCACCGACAGCCGTTTGCGCAGCTCTCAGCCGGCTCTGCTTTGGACGGGTTGGGGGAGCCGGGTTCGTTCAGCCTGGGGAAAAGAAGCTGCGGGGTGAATCATTGCAGCTTCAGCACCTCAAGGGAGCCTGCGAACAGGAGGGGAGTCAGCTCTTGGGGAGATGACAGCAGGACAAGGGGAAATGGCTTGAATTGAGGGAGGGCGGATTGAGGCTGGATGTGAGGGGGAAGTTCTTTATTATGGGAGCGGTGAGGTGCTGGAACAGCTGCCCAGAGAGGCTGAGGATGCCCCGTCCATCCCTGCAGGTGTTCAAGGCCAGGTTGGATGGGGCAGCCTGGGTGTGAGATGTGGAGGTTGGTGGCCCTGCATGCAGTGTGGGGTTGGAGCTCCGTGATCCTTGACTCCCTTCCAACCCTGGCCATTCTGTGTCGTTCCGTGGTCTCACTGAGCAGCAGCACGGCCTCCTGCTCCACCACAGCTCCAACCCAGCAGAGCGATGGCACTGAAGCACGGGGCACCATCCTCCGCCTTTCGCTCCCAAACGTTTTTTTCCTGGAATGCAAATTCTTACAAACCCACAGCACGAATTTCACCAGGGTCGGGGTGCTGTACCACAGTGTGCACACGGAGCGTTGAGGCACAGCCATGGGAAGCACCAGGACCTCACTGCTGCCTCTCACATCCCTGCTGCTGCCATTCCACAGTTTTGGTCTGAAATCCGGGTGTTTCAGGAAGGTAAAACAGATGCTGAGCTTTTCCCAGTTAACCCCACACCCGCCTGTCTCCCTGATGGGTGAAGCATTGTCCCATGGGTAAGAGCCTGGCAGGTATCAAAGCAATAACCTTATATAGGAATGTGTATTTTTGCTGTTACAATGCCCACCATCTCCAGGTCACCTTGGAGGGCTGTCACGCAGTGCTTGTGTCCTGATTGAGGGCCACACGTCCCACCGTGAGCCCTTCCCAAACCCCTCCCCTGTGCTCCATTCCCAGGTTTCCTTTCCCTGGCACAGCTGTGTGGCAGCTCCCAACCTCCACCAGCACCACCCCAGTTCCACTGTTGCCATCAACGCATCAGGACTCCCCCAGATCTCGGATTCCATCACCTAAAGGAAAAACTTTTTGTCTTTTTTTTTGTTCTTTTTGCTGCTTTTCCTTCGGCTGCTCTCAGGTCGTTTGCGTTGTCTGAAGTGAAAAACAAAGCCGCCTCGACTCACAGCCACGTTTGTTCTCATTTCACCCATCGCTGCTCAGGCCAGAATCACAACTGTGTGTTATTTTGTCAGCGTGCACAAAGCAGAAGGGAAATCAGCTCACAGCTCTGAAATCACATGGGCTCTGCAGTGCTGACGGGAGGGAAAAGCAGCAGTGAACTTAATGGGGACCAGTGGGACAAAAACGGCCCCTCCACCATTCCTGTGCCTTCCACCTTCTGTCCTGGCTCCTGCTGGAGCCCGAGGCCAAGCTGTACGACCATTAACCCGTGGTTGTGTCCCATCAGTGCAGGCCATGCTGCCCTAAGAGCACAGAGAGCAGCAGGGGAAGCAGCTCAGGACAGAGCTGGGGGCTTCCAGCCATCGCAGGGCCTGGCGGTAGGGTTAGAAAAGAACGAGAGCTCAGGACACGAATTTCACATTGACATTTTTATTAACGCCAACTGTTTTAATTTTTGTTGTGGTTTTCTGTTTGGTTGGGTTGGTTGGTTGTTTTGTTTTGTTTTTTTAAACAAGAGCACAAAAATGTTTTGGGGGAAGCGGTCTGACAGTCTGATGACCTTCTGAAGTACAGTGAAGCCACAGCAAAGATGAATTCTTGTTAAAGAAAGGAAGAAAAAAAAAAAAAAAATCCGTACGGAGCTCCAACCTTTTTGTCAGAGGGCGTCGTGTTGGTGAGCAGCCAAGGAAACACAGCTTAGGCTTCATCAGCACTCCACTCAGCACTCATTTAAGGCTTCTGAATCAAATTACCATCGACATCACAGAAAGGAACGAAAAGCTATTGCTGCTACGGCCACGAGGAGGTGGGACAAGCTGGGCTGTGGGGACACGGAGCAGAGCCCAGCCAGCAGTGGGAGAGCTGGGCACGCAGTGCTGCCCGTGGGCATGCATGGTGAGGGTGCCATGGAGGCAGGAGAAAAAAAGGATAGACTGCGTGAATCGTTCTCTCGTTTAATGTGGCTATGAAAGATGTTTCCATACAATCCCGTTATCTCTAAGAAGGACATCAGCAAAGTGGAACCGAGAAGTGGAGAGCGACAGAACGGTTTTGTTTCTGCTGAGAGGTAACACAAAAAGGGGGGGGAACCTACGATCCGTGGGGTGAGGGATGGGTTTGCAAGAATGTCTCCCCCAAACCTTGCACTGGGAGCTGTTTGGCCTCCTGCCTTCTGAGCACTGTGTGAGCACTCAGCCTCTCCTGCCCCGAATTCTGCTGACCTCGCACTGCTGGTTTCCTCTTTTGGGGGGAGGGCATAAAAAAACAGAACATCTGTCAACGAGGAGGGGATGTTAAATATTGTAACCACTGACAAGGCTTGAGGAAGTTTCACAGTTTTGTTATGCTCTATTTTATTACTATCATATTTACAGATTTTTTTTTCTTATTTTTTTTTTTCCTCCTTTTTTCTTTCTCTCTCTCTCTCTCTCCCCTCTCTCTTTTCGTTGAATTGCGATTAATTTTAATAGAATTTTAATTCTGGAGTGTGAGCAGGAACCAGTTAACTACATTCACAGTCCAATCCCCGTCCGCTTGAGATAAAAGACTCTGAATTCTTGGCGTATCAATCAGCTGTGGGGCAGCAGCTCCTCCTTCCCCCCACGGAGGCAGTGGGGCTCAGCAGCACCGTGGGTTCACGCCGTGGCCGGGGGGGGACCCTTCCTCTGCAGGAAGAACTGATGGATGTCCTCGCTGTCCCGCTTCAGCCAGGCAGCATTCAGCAGGATGTTCTCGCAGCACTGCTGGACGGTGCGCTCTGCGGATGGCGCTGGGTGGCTCTCGAAGAAAGCCTGCACACAAAGCACACTGCTGTCCTCACCAGGGCCCAAATGGCTGAAGGTGGGGCTGTGTTTGAAGCCCCCCCGAGGTGCTGAGTTCGTATGGGAAGAAATGAGGTTTCTCTGCTGGCTGTGGGAGCGGCAGAACGGCTCCGTTTCCATCTCTGTCCCATCCTCGTGGCCACTGAGACGCCAAGGGACGGCCTCAGCCCTTCAGTGGGAGGGCAAACACGAGCAGCAAACCCAGTGTGTATTTCTGGGTGCTTGGAAAAAGGCACTAAGTGACACTCGGGGCCATTTTGGCAAAGCACTGCTCTACAGATCGTGTTGCTGAGCACTGCTGCCCACTGCGCAACGACCTCCAGGCACTGCAGCTCCTGGAGCATCGCTGGAGGTTCTCGTGTTCATCCCTCCAGCACCTCTCTATGATAGAATGGCCTGGGTTGAAAAGGACCACAATGATCATCGAGTTTCAAGCCCCCTGCCACGTGCAGGGTCACCAGGCTGCCCAGAGCCACAGCCAGCCTGGATCACCTGCCTACTTCAGCTCCAGCTGAACACACAGCTGTGAGCTCACTGCTGTGGGTGGGCTGAGCTGCCCCTACAGGGAACCATCCTCACCTTCACCCCAAAACACACACAGATAAACAGACACACACACTAATGTAAGGCACAGGGACACCACGTGCTCCAGCAGGGAGCCATCACAGAAACGAGTTATGGTTCTGTTGTTTGTTGAGCAAAGCATCTTTCAGAACCAATAAAATGAGATTTCTCTGCAACATCATTGCTGCTACTGAACCTCAGGGGAAGAGATTGCTAAGTGATGCAAACACGTGGCTCAATGGATCTTCAAAACATGAATTCCTTTTCAGCATTTTGTTAATGGGAAAGTGACAACTGAGGGCCACGTTTTTATGTTTCTTCTGCCAAGGAGCCCCCATAAAACTGCAGGCAGGGAGCAAAGAAAGCCAGCGGGCTCCCCAGGGCTCGTGCTCACACACCATGGGGATACCTGAGCACCTGAGCCAGCAGCTCCCAGCAAACACTCATCTGTCCCATGGCAGAGCCTTGCTCTCACTGCACAGCACAACTGAAGGCACAAACCTGGACCTACAGCATGGAATCGTGCTCATTTCTACCATGTGAGTAGTAATCAGCAAAACTAATGAAATGGGGATCATTAAGAGCTGTGGAATGAATTGCTAATTTATAACTCAAAACAGCACAACTGAGGAACTACACAACGATCCCACAACTCAGAGGCACCATCCCCAAACTCGTGGCTCTCCCACGAGGTGCTGGCAGCTCAGAGCAGCCCATGTCTATCACAAATGAAATTAATTACCTCCATAAATCACATTTCTTACCTTGACTTCCGCTGCCATTTTATCGTTTGCAAACCCATCCACTGTTAGCTGCAGAAAAAAAAAAGATAACCAAAGGTAAGCAGTCAGCATTTCAAACATAACTCAGTTGGGGCCCTGCACATTAACAGAGCCATTCTCAGAGCCACACAAACCTTTATTAGTCTGGATATCAAGAATCCACCCTGGTATCGATTATAAAGCTCCTCCCAGTTGTCTCGTACAAACTTCCAAGCAGCTTTCCTTCCCTGCTTGCTGCCTCCTGCCACTCCTCCAATGACAGACACTGTGTCCTGGGGACGTACCTCTTCCTGAGGATGAATGCAACAACAAACATTCCCAACTGATGCTAACAAATATCAAGGGCAGCTCTTCTCTTTTTTCCACAAATTAAGGTATAAATCAGATTCAATAGCTGCAACTATTCCCAAAACAACAGCTTTTCCAGTAACTTACTGAAAGTGCAAAGGTGAGAACTTTTTGAATCAGTTCTGGCTGGGAGATGGCCCCGAGGACACGCTCAATTCGGTTCTTCTCCTCCTGCATGTCTGCTTGCTTGTGAAGCTTCAAAGTTCAAAGGCAGAGCAAACAGTGTTAGCACAGATATGAAGTGACCTCCTCTCATCACCTGGTGCTGCTCACCTTGCTGGATACGCTGCTGGGTTTGTCTTTAAGCATTAAATATATGACAAACTGAACACGTTCATGAATAATACGGCAGTTATCTACGTGAGGGATCTCATTCCACATGCATGAGCAGAAAGTACCATTAGTAACAAGCTGATCTTCACCACTGTTTATATAAGGCCAAGTAGAACCGTGCCTCTGAGCAATGGAAAATGATCCTAAAATGAGAGAGGCAGCAATCCACTAGGTGGCAATTTCACACCACTCGAGGACCAAGGAGCACAATTAAGGCTGAATCATCATCTGTACATCACCCCACTGGGCTCAGCAGCACAGAAACTCCACCTGGGACAATCCACCCACAGGGTGGGACGTTTAGCTCTTCACTGCATAAGCTGGTTGTGTGAAGAAAGGAGCGTGCACTCACCTTGAGCATGGTGTCTAAAGTAGTACTGTCTCCATGCTTCAAAATAGTGACATAGACCTGGGGGAGAGCACAAAGACATCCTTCACACATCACACCTGGAGGGATGCAAAGCTCACCCTGGGTGAAAGGAGCTCTGCAACAAACTGCTGTGCATTTGGGCTGGATTTCAAGCAGGTGAGCAGAGCTGGAAGACAGCTGCACTGACCCCTTTTGTGTTAGCACTGAATTTTAAGACGACTTTGCCAACCCCTCTCTTCCTTAATTTCAGCTTCAGCAAAACAACAGAGCAAGAAATCTTTGTACCACGCGCTGAAAGCTAGCAAGCACTTCATGTACACTCAACCCACATCCACCAGTCTCTAAAACCAACACCATCCAGAGACCAAAGCCGTTCCTGTGTCAGTGTAGGTGGGAACCAAACCCTCTGATAACCTACAGGACTCCTCAGATCAGCTGACAGGATGTTTTTTCCTTCCACGTGGTCTTTAAACCGGCGTCGGGCTTCTTCCAAGGTAGCCTTGTGCCCAGCTTTGCCTAGTTTGCCCAGCACCAGACCTCTCAGAAGGGCATCTAGATGACCTGATCAGTAGAAGGAGAAAACAATTATTTGGAGACGACTAAATTAATAAATGTCCTTCTTTAATCCTTCCACCTGCACTCATAAGCTACAGAGCTACAAAATAATCCTTCTGCAAATGAGGGGATATCTAAAGAAAGCAGGACTTTCCAGCTCTCCTCAGTGCCATTGGAAGACTATTTTAGCTTTTAAATAGCAAGAGCATCAGGAGAATAAAATTCCAGACCAAACACAGCACGCTCTGCCTGCAATCTGAGCCAGGCTGGTAATCACAACAAAACTGCTGGATCTACACTGGGACAAACTGGGACAAGTTTCCCACCCCAACAGCCTACGAAGTTTGGTGCACTCTAATAGATGCAAAGCTACAGCAGATAGTTCTTAAATCAACCACTGACTGGACAGGGAAACGTTCACCATTTTAAGGTGCACTTGAGAAAAGAGAGTTGTTTGGAGGCTTTGTGTTTGGCTTTTTAAATATAAAAACACCCCCAAATGCCTTCCTCAGCCCTTCCTCTTCCTCCCTTCTCTGCCATTCCCAACATCTTGATGGCTTATTTATTTCAAGACCCAACACCACCACACTGTGAAACCCAACGGTGAGTTCTCTTACCCTCTCCAGGTTTGGGGTCCCATCCCAGTCTCTCCCCTATTGGTGAAAAGACATCTTTCACAAACACCTGGATTTCCTCATAGAAGTCTGTGTGGGACAAGAGAGTTGAGAGAATCTCCAGGTTACAGCTGAGGTCGCTCCACACAGTATAATTGGGCTCATTCACAAATGCTTCCATGACTTTTAGAACCTCTACAGTGCTAATGATTCCAGCTCGGGCCTGGGAGAGGAAAAGACACAGATCAGTTTTACTTCCATGCAGAATTAAGGCATTCAGCTGCTCACTGCCTTATAAATAAGGCTGTGCTGAGCTCTCAGGGCACACAGTGCTTTCCATACACAGGTAAGAACATCACCAGGAGATGGTGACACAATTCTAAGTCCATTTTGCAAACAGGAAACAGACAACGAGCTTAAATGAGTTTAAATCAAAGCAGAGCTGGCAAGAGATGATAAACCTCCAGAGTTATTCTCAGCCAGATATTACACCCACCAACAGCTTATTTTAACCTAAAATTGTAATGATTGCGAGGTTTAATTTTTGCTCCTCATTAAATTGGGATCGTAAAGCTGCAGGAACCATTTTTGCTTCCTGCTTCTCATAGAAGTACAAGCAGCCTTCCTGCCTATGCCAGGGAAAATCTATGCTGCCTCCCAGCACTGTGAAAGTACTCCTATGCTCAGTGCAGGTGATTAATCTCCAACCAGACTGCTTCACATGGGAGCAGACTGGTAAATTATGGCAAAGAAAAGGGGGTGGAAGATCAATTTCTACTATTTAAGCTACGCTCAGCTATGATGAAATATTATTTAAATGGAAACACACACACAAATAAAGGAGTGTAACACAGATCCTGTGTGCATTATTATTATTTGTGCCATTGGTTCTGCAATACTTGGGAAGGGACCCAGGCCATATTTTCAAACACTCTCAACTAAGCCATGACAACTTAGAAGCTTTGAAGAAAGAGGGATGGGGCATCAAACCCACATCGCTCCAACCTTCCATGCTTTTGCTAACCAAAAAGAACACAAAAGCACAATCTGAAGTACAGAGCACAGCAATGCATTGCTCAGAGCTGACACTGCCTGCTTTTCAGGCAGTCCCTTGCTTTGGAACACTAAGAATCCCCAACAGCCACCTCTGCCAGGGGAGGAAGGCTTTACAAACCCTACTGGCTGCAGCACAGTGCTGATAAAGTCTTGGATAAAGTCTTTGAGGGGATAATTAAAATATCCCTGCTTTGACCAATTAAAAGAAAGTTCTCAAAACGATTTTATAAACCTTATGAACAAGTCTGAACTCGTTGAGTGAGTTAACAGCTAAACACATGCAATAGTCCCAGGGGTGCTTCACCTCCAAAAACAGAGACTGACTCTTCAAACACCCGTTTCTGTCACCACCACAGATCTCATTATTGGACAGAACAGCACAGTTTGCTTACCAGAGAGAAGAGATCATTCTGCAGGCCGAGCCTGTCCACGGGGGGTAGGGAGAGGTCTTTGATAGCTGGTATTAAACTCTCCAGCATGTCAGGGCTGTACTGCGTGCGGTAGAAGCCTACTGTCCCAAGGTTCAACTGAAATGCACCAAAAAGTAAAAAATTAGAAGCCAGGAAAAGAAAAAAAAAAGGATTTTTAAAATTTTATTTTAAATAAGGAGCGCTCACTAAGAGGCACGGTAGATGAGAGAGAGCTGGCATGAGGAAATAGGATGGGAGCAAGGAGGAAAGAGAAACCTCCACTCCTAAGCAGGGTTAAGGGTTAGGAAGGAGAACACACAGTGCAGAAGACACAACACAGGTGGCTGCCCATGCTACAAGCCTCACTTCTGTAACCTGACTCTCAGCTTGTTCAACACGACTCTGATACACAACTGTGTTCTCAAGAAAGGAGAACAAGTGTCCCTGCCCTGCATCACAGCAAGTCGTGCACAGTAAGCCTGAAGAACTGCAGTTTGAGGTAGGAAGGCAAAAATCATCAGCATCTTTGCTCCTGTTGGGGCAGAAGCTCTCAGGGTTGGTTGTGATGAGCCCCTCTGTCACCAAGGTGATGCAGACAGATGTGGGGATTCCAGGGAACACACAGACCTGATGGCTGAAATGCTCCCGTTAGTTAAGCAGGAAGATCTGATTTAGAATAACTCTTATTGCTGTTTCATGGAGTCTCCTCCAGCTCAGAAACCATTATTCTAAACCTCGTTAGTTCATGCAGTAATAATTCCAGTCAGTTGGTTCCTTTCCATTCTCCCATCCTGTTTCTGCCCAGTGTCTGCAGCACATCTCAGCAGTGGGTTTTTCCACTTGCAGATTCCTACTTTTCTGGTAAAACCCATTGAAAACCTTCACACTAATGGGAAATAAACAGGACTATTTTTGCTCAGAATGGACTTGAACTAAACTGCAGTTGCCACGGGATACTGAAAAAGCCACTGTATTTAAAATCAAAAGCTGCCTCCGCTTAACGGGACTCTGTTTTTCTGGGCTCACACTCTGAGAAGGTTCCAGTTTACATTGTCTAGACTGCTCCTGGAAACAAAGGTCTGAAGGGAAACGTTAAGCATTACAGACAGGAGCCAACATCCAGCAGTAGCACAGAGAGGCCCCTGCACAAGAAATACAAGACTGCAAGGAAAAAGAGAGGGAAGAGGAAACTGGAAGGAAGGAGAACATGACAGTGACAACCAAACTCACAGCTCCCTTGTGGCCACTCACCTTCACCCACTGGTCTGGTTTAACATCTTTCAAAACCAAGGTCAGCTCTGGTTTGTCCATCAGCACTTGCATTTTGGCACTGGTGGGGTCGTCGCTTGTACAAATACTGATGGGGACCATCCACATAGGGAAATCCTCCCCTAAAAGAGGAAACAAATAAAAAAGGAAGGCCTAAGGAAAAACGATGTGCAGACTAAGAAATGCTGCATGAGGCTGAAGTTTTGGCAGCAGCTGATGTCAGTATGTTTAAATTCAAATTGACAAAAACCTGAAGGAAAAGGGCAGTTCTAGAGTCCAACACCAAGGGTATCTACAGCACCTTTGAAGCCTAACACTTTACTTTCCATAAGTAGAGGAAATAGGCAGAATTTTCATCTTCAAATAGAGCTGACTTCCATACAAGGCATTTTTATTTATTCACAGCCATAAGACCAGCAGATTACAGAGCTCCTCAGATGGCAGCAATGCCCTTGAAGTAGACATGGGAAGAGAAGAGCCTCAGAATGAAAGCTGAGCTGAAGACTGCAGCTTTCACCATAGCAGGAGGACATGAAAAGCATCGCAGCACTCAGCTTTATATTCATTCTGAAGTCTTAAACACCCAAATCCAAGCTGTCTGATCACCCAATATTGCTGTCACTGCTTCTGCTCCCAGCCCTCATCTTACCAGCATATGGTCCACTGGCACAGAACTTCTTCTGGACTAACTTCAATACTTTGTCATCTTCTTGCTAAAAAATCAAAACAAAATCAATCAGATTCTTCAAGAATTCCAACTTATTTCGATGTTCATGGAGTTAAAGGGGAAATTTAGATCATTTAACCTCAGTTTTCATACATCGCAACTTCTGTGCACTCCTTAAACTCACATAACTTCCATCCTCCCCCACAAAAAGAAACTCACTCAAGGATTCATTCCAGTTTACTCATCATTACTATTGTTGAGACATACATGCCCTAATTACCCACTGATTTTTTGGGGTCTGATTTCACTTTCCAGCCACTAATCCCAGCTCAGCCTGTGATGTTGCAGAGTAAGCACAATCAAAATGGAGCTGGAAGCACAGTGTGCACTGAGGGGACCTACAGCAGATATTCCACTGCCCCTGCAGCTTTTCAAACACAAAGAGCAAATGGGCCATGTCAGCAAACCCCAGGCACAGGGCCTGGAGTGCCTGTGGATAAACTCTATTTCACTTTCCACTGGGTTCCTCCTCTTCCTCTCCCTGTAGAAACAGACCTGCCACTAAACAAAGCAATTCACTGCACCATGCTCTGCTCCAAGAGACATTCTTAAGTTATTGGAAACCACCAAATCTGATCTTAAACTGAGTGGAAAGGCAGAACATCTGATCTGAAAATAAACCAATCACTATAAGGGGAATTATTGCACAACTCACCTGTTCAGCTTCCACGTAAATGAGTGGAAATCCCATTTGTTTGGTCCATGTGTTCATCACAGCAGCAATAGGTTTACCACTAGCTTTTTCCAGGCTTTCCCAGAGGTCCTCTGTAGAAAAAAAGTCTGACTAAGGACACCCTGAGCCCCACCATGTCAGACACTGTTACAGTAATGGGCCCTGGGAGGTGGGATCTGTGGTACTGCTCCCATTATTTGCCCACTGTGATCTCCACTGCCCTTTTGTCAAGTTGTGAAGGTGATAGGTGAGAAAAAGGAAATAGTTTAAACCATCCACAGGTGAGGAGAGGGGGGAGAAAACTTTACAGCAACTAAAATCACGTAATCAATCCATACTGTACACTGAAAGTGGTAAAAAGAAGAGTCTCTCCCTGCAGTTTTCATCTGTTACGTCAAAAGAGCCAAGTGAGCCACATGGACTGCTTAAGGCTGAAGGTCCAATTCCATGTTTATGAATTACACCAAAAAAAAAAAAAAAGAGGTCTAAGAAAAGATATGTTAGAGCAGACTTTGAACTGTTTACTCATCCATGCAATCAATACTGCCAAGCATGGCGTGCAGCAGGCAAACCACCACGCTCCATTTCTATCATCACGTGGATGTGCTCATCACCAGCAAGTGCAGATCCTGCAGATCACCTCATCCAAGAGACAGAACCCCCAGAGGATGCAGAATTCTGGCTGTGCAGGGGAACATTGTATGAAACTGGAAACAAGCCCACTATTTCCTGCTTTTCAATTACTCAGTTGCAAAAGCAGCTATGTAAGAAACCACCGAATTAGCTCCAAAAATTGTGTCTCAAGAAATGAGTTTTCTTAATCACGTAATAATCATCAGTTACCTGTGGCTGCATTCTTCTGCAGGAACTTTGTTAAATATAAATTCATTCCTTTCCGAAAGTCCTGGGAACACACAATTGAATGCATGGTCATGGCACCACAATGGAGCTCCCTTCTGTCCTCCCTCCGTGCTGCATTTAGATTCAAGAGTCAACCCAAGAATCCTAGGATCCACATGCACACCTGTATCTCCCTCCTAAATTCTGCTGCTACAAAGACCAACTCATGTGTTTTTCCCTAAGCCAGATTTTACCACTGAAATGATTTTATTTCTGTATTTTCCCACCGCCTTGTTTCTCCTAGGTAAGTTCAAATACCTAGGAGAAATACAAAGCCCAAAAACTACACAGAAGAGAAGTCTTGGAAATTAAAATACAGACATAAACTTAAGGTTTTTGTAGCGTAGAAATATTTGAAAACCTACAGTTAGCTCCTGACAACAGACTTTTTACCTCATCACCAATGTAGTCGTGCAGCATTCGGATTACAGATGCTCCCTTGCTGTAAGAAATAGCATCAAATATTTCATCTACTTCGGATGGATGGCCAACACTAACCTGTGATGAAGAGGATAATTAACGGTGAGTTAATTGCCACAATGTTCTGCTTTCGTTTGTTCTGTTGCTTAAGGAGTTTTCTCACTGAAGAAAGCACACGTGTAATACAGGAAAATCCACAAAGTGTAAAGACAATTTTGGGTTTTTCTTTGCATTATGAATGAGCGTACAGTTCTTCCTTAATAGGGAACAGAAAACTCACATCCAGCTAACAAGAAAGAAGGGAGATAACCAGTAGGAAGGACAAGACTTACTTCAATTGGATGACTGTTGTCTAAGGCATCGAGCTCTTGAGCTCGTGTGTAATCAGCAGAAACAAACTGAGTCCAGATGTCATACTCTGGAAAGCAGTGATCGACACACAGGTACTCAATCCAGGAGGCAAACCCTTCGTTCAGCCAAAGATGGGTCCACCATTCCTGGAAAATGAAGAAGGTAGAATAAAGAACAAGATTCTAAGGGCTTTGCTTTACCAACAAGAAGTCAGCAGCAAAGAGAAACTTTTCATGTCCTCATTTAGCACAGGGCAGAGGAACAGGTAATGCCTGTGAGCACCAGCTCCTCCCTATGAAGAAGTCAGCAGCCCAAGAAGAGCAATGAGCACACTCAGTCTTCTCCTGTCTTAGAAAAGATCTAGAAATACCTTTACAGGACACACTAATAAAGGAGGAACTGATAATAAAGCAATTTTTTAAGACAGCATGTCTGTTATTACAGGACACTTAATAATAATGATATGAAGCACATGTCAACAAAAAGTAGAACTTGTAACTGTTAGATACCATGGTCACGAGGTTTCCAAACCACTGATGAGCAAGTTCATGTCCCACAACCAGAGCCACCCACTGGCGAGATGAAGAACAGGAATTTTTGGGGTCAATGAGCAATGCAGTCTCCCTGTATTTAAAAGAAAGAGGTGACTGAACAAGTGAAACAAGCCTAGGTTCGAAAACACAGCAAAAGCAGGTTAAATAACCTAAACAAGCTACAAAGTGATTGGTGCAACTGAAAAAAACCAAGAGGTATTTCAGTTTAGACGTTGCTTTGGTAAGTTCCACAGTTACTGGAATGCTTTGGAGCAACAGTTCCTCACGGCATGCAAGAAGACAAGTGCAATAAACCAAGCAGGAACGAGAAAGTTTATGCTTTATGTATAAAACAGCTCACCTACATAATCTAGAAAGGAAGGGGGGGACACGACAAGTCTCACCTTAACTGAAACTCCCTTTGCACTGCATGGTGTATGCACAGCCAATCTCCCTCAGCCCCAAAGGAAGCCCAGCTCTCTCCAGCTGTGTCACACACACGGGTCCCTCCACACACAAGAGCTCCCAGCTCAGGCACACAACCTTCCTCTGCAAACACCCCACTGCAACCAGGACGTGGTGGGGCAGCCACAGCTTCAGGACTGCTGGGCTCCAAGGGGACAAAATTCCAAACACAGACTGTGCCAACCTTCTGTCCCCGAGGGGATAAAGCAAGCGTGCCAAATCAAAGAGTAAAAAGGGGGAAAAATGGAGCAGCAAAAATTAAGAAAGGCTTAAAAAAAAAAAAAAATCTACTCATCCAAGGTAAGTTGGTGGGGTTTTTTCCCTCCACAGGAAGTAAAAGATTTCATCAAAATTGTAATAAGATGTACTTTTTAACCTGGACTCAAACATCCACTGCAATTTTTTTTTTTTTAAGGCCAAATTCAAAGTTTAGCAAAAGAAATTCAAAAGGATTGAAGTCCAGAGCTTTTAAGTCCAATGTACAAAATGGAGAATCAGTCTAACAATGTGTACAGATCATGTAGGAGTATCAAGCAAAGACATAAAAGCTTGATCAGGTGAACACAAAAAACTGAAAAGGAAGGCAAGTTAGTATTTTTCACTACATGATAATCATGTGGCTGCTACATTGACCAACTTGCCTACAACATAAAACAAGAAACCCTTCCAGCTGTGCCAGTAACTTGGAGGGGAAAAAAAACAGCCAAGAAAGTTCTCTTGGAGAACAGGCAGTGCTGCCAGACAGTTAAAAACCCTCACACCCTTGGACAGTGCTTGCAGAGCTCATTCCTGCCTTCCTAAGGTTTGTGTAGTAATGCACGCTGCTGCAGAAGTCACAACGATTCAAACTGAAGCAAGAGCTGAAGGTACTGATTTGGTCTTATTTGGGATGATGCCAGCTCCCTAAAACTAATCCAGTTATTGCCAAGAATTAGTGAACAAAGGAGGGGAAAGACAGTATTTTAACAGCATACCTATAAGTAACAAGGCCCCAGTTCTCCATGGCACCTTTATAAAATAAATACAAAGGTTTATTGATATGGATACACACCTCTTCCTAAATGTTTATAATTCAAATAAAATACAGTTCATCAATAAAGTGAGTTACTTTACCAGCAGCAAAATCTGCAATAGCTATGAGATCAATTTTAGGAAGAGGGTAAGGAACATTGAAGTAGTCCTTATAAAAAGGCAGAGTTTTAGCAGCAACCTGTAAGAGAGAAGAGGAGAAACCTGGTAAATATTTTGTTAACTTGGAACAATTTTGAAAACCAAAAGCTTCCTGATGGCCAAGACCAGCCTATGAGAGCAGCACACACAAGCTTTCCTCCAGAAGACTCATTCCCAGCTTCCAGAGCACAATACCTTGGAAGGCTCCCACCCCCCCCAAAGCCTTGGAAGGCTCCCATCCCCTTTTTCTCCCAGGCTGTACCCTTCCCTTCAGTATTCCTCATCATCTTTGGATCACAGTCTGCCCCATGAAATCAAAACGACTCGAGTGAAACGTGTGTTCTTTTGTCATTAGAGACATGAGTTTGTCCACAATCTTCAACATCAAGCCCAGTCCCTCTGAGCTACTAAAGCAGGACACCCTCCCAAAGCTCTGTGTCACCAGAGGCCCACACAGCCTGCAGGAGCTCACAACACCAGTAAGAAAATCACCTTGAGTGCATTTACCTCTAATGCAAACTTTCCTTGCTCAGCTTTGCCCACAGGAGTGTAAACACGCACTAAGACCCCATCTAGGGACCTGGTCTCTACAAAGTCATATTCTCCCACCACAAATGCCACCAGATACGTCGACATGATGGGGGTGCGAGCAAACTTGACTTCCACCAGGTTCTCATCATCTGGGTATGGCTTCCGGTCAATGACATTCTTCAACATGAAAGAGAAGCAGTTTTGTGGAAATGAAACTGTTCTGCAGTGCATGGGATTAACTACAGCATTGCTAGGAATCACGTGTTTAACATGAAAGAAGTTCCTTGATTTTATAATACAGATCACTAGTTTCCCCCCTAGCTAAAATTTGCCCCATCACGTATGGAGACGTGCTTCTGTAATACACACATGATATGCCATTAATGGAAAGGCAGGTGCTCTTTTATGCTATATACTTTATATTCTATTACTGGAAAGGCAGCTGAACATGTTAGCTATCAGCTGCTGCCCTCCAAAGAGGATATTACGCAGTTCCCAATAAGGCACAAGGCTTGTATCAAAATACTGAAACAGAAACCATAACCACGTGGTCAGTGAGCAAAGCCAGACCTCACAGAGAACGAGGATAGTGAAATAAACTGAATTCACTGAAATAAAAACATAAAAATAAAACCCATTTTTAAAACTCAAACGCTCTTCTCTAAAAGTGCATTCCAGAAATATTTGCACCATATTTCAAACGGTAACCTGAGAATGCTTTGTGTTTGTGACATGAGTGCTGCCACCTGCACATCTTACCCTACTTCTCAGAAATTCTCCAGGGCAAAAAACATGCCTGTTTATCTCAAGTTATAGCAGTTATACAAAGGGTTGGCTGTTCCCCCCCCCCAGTCACTCTTCATCAAGCAGCACGTGGCATGACATATGCTAGACTTCAGCTAAAAAAACAAACACACACCACTGTGGTTTGTAAGGTCTGTTTAGGTTTTGTGCTAGCATCTGAAATAACAGCATCATCTTTTAAGAGTTCTCTCAATTTAGAGCTGCTTACTCATAGCTACTAAGACAGACTGCATTCCTAAGTCCCCAAACACATTTCACTTTCCATCAGGCAGCTGCCTTTATTATAGTTGTATTCAGAAGACAGTTGGTGCACCAAGAACTTACCATATTTGACAAAGCTACTCTGTCTTTAGGAACCACCAATGAAATATCAAAAGTCGCCTTAATAGCAGGCTCATCCCAGCAAGGGAAAGCTCTGCGAGCATCAGTAGCCTGAAAGAAGAAAGAACATTAACCCAAGAAATCACAAGAAGCTGCTGCAATGGCAACAGACAAAAAACAGGTATATTTTATGGGCAAGAAGTTGGATGAATGCAAGCTGGTGGTGATGGCACTGTGCAGCTTCCTCACTGACACCCCCCAGCCCCTACACTAAAGCATTTTGTTACTAATGTGATTGTTTCTTTCCCTCTTTTTTTTTTTTTTCTTCCCCTTTGTAACACAGCTAAAAAGCACTCTGTGCTCTGATGGAATTCTACAGTCTGTGCAGAATTTAGCAGAGTCATGGCAGTAGCAAAGCTCAGTCATGTGAAAGCAGAAGGGCACGCAGGCATTCCCAGACAGCACACACAGGACCACCTACCCATATCCTAACACCAGCCTGCACCCAAAGGAAACCTTCTGTGAGCAGGAGGTAAGCACTCTGTGTTTTCATGTGGCACACAGCTATGAAATCACAATATGGAATGAAATTCTGTCCTTATGACCAGGGCTTACATAATGCTTGAGCCATTTTCTGGCTCGTGTTTTGGATGTCATTATAATGCTGAGATAAAGGCAGAATGTTCTAATTAAAAATTAATATATTTCACAGAGGCAAGTTATACAGATGTGTTTGACCACATCTACATAAATAGATGTTTCTAAACATTGCATCTGTTTTATTTATATATATAATGCATCACACAGCAGCATGACTGTTGGCTGGGGAATGTGCCAGAGCCAGAATGCACTGACCTTCAAGACACACCATAAAGGACAGTTTTAGCATTGCCCATCCACGAGAAGCAAAAAAAAAAAAAGAAAAAAAAAAAAAAGCATTTTTGAAGTTTACTCAAAGCAAAGCTAAAGCCAGGACAGCAGGCCTGCGCTGCTCCGGAGAACAAAGACCACAATAAGAATGACAATCCTTGCAAAGAGAAACACAGCCCATACCTCAAACTGAGTGACAGCAGCATAGCGTGTGTCTCCAGTAGGGGTTGTATATTTACTTCGGTAAAAACCTTTCATTTTATCATTCAGCTCCCCTACAAAGTCTATCTTCAGCGTTCCCGTCCCTGAAACAGAAACAGATTGGATATTGTTATGGATACACCACAGAGCATTTCTTTGGCCCAGATCTGCAGTCTGGGCTTCTCAGCTGGACTGCTGCCTTTCTGAAGACGGCCCTTCAGTTCATCCCCACCCATGGGTTTTCTGCCAGTCTCTTTCAAACTCTTTGCTCTCCTTATGAAAAAGTGAGATCCAGCAGAGCTAAGCATCAAAACCAGAGCAGGCAAAGCCAGGCAAACCATACAACAGACCTGGAAGGTTCCTGCAGCACTGCTTCTCATCCTCTAAACACAGCACAGGAAACAAGAGAGATCTCCCTTAAGCCATTTGACAAGTCTGATCCCACAGCTCTTGTGTATATTTGCAAAAACATAAGACGTGGCTATTTATCCTCTGAAACCTACTGCAAAATCAAACTGGAGCACTGGTTGCATTCAAGCTTCTAAGTCAATTAGTCTCAGGATTTATTCTGCCCTCGATGTCTCAGTGTAAAAGGGGAAACCTGATCTTCATCAGAAAGGCAGCATGCCAAAATCCCACAGAATGAAATGCCAGCAGTTTATCACCTGACAATCTTTACATTTGTGTTTGAAAAGATGAAGTAAAACAGCTTCATCCAAACCAAGGAGCTAAGCTTCAATCCACAAACCCAACACAGCAAAAAAACAATAGTTTCAAAAGATTTAGTGCATTCCAGCCTAGGAAAATACTGCAGTAACTCAGATTAGCCCTTTCTCAGTAAGAGGAGAACAGATCATCAGTATGTGACAGAAATAGCTTTGAGCCTAACGCCCAATAGCAGGTAAATAATTGGAGTCACCTTCATGTTAGAAGCAAACATCACCATTAAGGAAACAATCTCTCCAGTTCCAGGGGCCCACAGTCAAAGTGATCTTATCATTTGTGCTTCCCATGAATCTCAAAGATTTTAGTACCAAAGGGACCTTGTAAAAGAGGTTTAAGTCAGGTGTTAATCTGTGCTGCCCCTTCTAAGTATCCATTCACTGAACAGTCACAGAGATAATCAAAGCACTTCCTAGAGAAACAGATGAATAGCAGCTTTTTATGGCACTTACTTGAACTGCATTCTTTCTGCTGGAAGAGGGAACTCCAACTCTAAGGTATTCTCAGAATTAAATCTACTTCAGCCTGACAGCTGATAGTTCAGGTTCCACTCTCTCAGCCTCCAGGGGACACACAGCTGCTGCTCCAGCTTTGCTAATGCAAGCACCACAAATGCACAGGGCAAAGTGAGCTGAAAGCACCTGAATATCTCTTACCTTTCTGAAGGGTACTGGGAAAGGAGAGGGTAACCTTCTCATCCTCATTTTGATAGTTGAACCCTGTGGCATGTACCTCTGAAAGAGAAACAGATTTTGTTTGAAATAAGATCCAGTGATGCTTTTGTAACTCCTGAGCACTTAAGACGAACCTGATCAGCTGAATCCAACAGCAAATCAATGAAGGTTTTGAATAATCCAGAAGGATCGTTTTGAGCAACCAAAGAAACGCCAGCCTTTGTCTGGGGTGACTGTAGCTCACCTTGCTTCAGACCTGAATTCAGCACATTTACTCCAGAGCCTGTGCAGCACTACTCCAACCCTCAAAAACAGCAAGAAATGGCACTGTTTTCCCTCAATATTAAACGCTTACATTAGTGCAGCAGGAGTCCTGTTAATTATCCTGAGCTTATGATTTAACTAATAATTTGTGGGCTGGTTTGAAAAGCACACTAATACCCACAGCAAGGTGGTTTTGTTTGGTTACAACCACTAAGAAAAAAGTCAACGCTGATTTTATTTAAAGCATGTCTTTAGACCCAAAGATCTACCTTGGAGATTGTGCACCATTCAGCAAGGGCATCCAAAACCAACTGGAATATTCAGCAGCCCAGCATTCATTCACGCAGCGTTGGGATCTATTTGTAGATGCAAACATCTCAACTATGAGAGCAAGCAGGAGAGCTGGGGGAGGGAACCAGCAGAGCTGAGCTGCCCTGCAGCCCATGGATGGACCCACCTCCTCCTGGTGCTCCTTCCTTCCTTCCCAGCTCCCCAAGTGCCACTGGGGCACACAAAGCGATGCACGACGACGCTCCTCCAACCACAGATCTAAAATAGCTGCACAGGGCCTTGCTGTGCAAGTTCTGCTATCTTTGTCCCCCTGTAATTAACTGCTGCCACAACTAGCTATCTCTAAGGAATGCAAATCTGCACCAAAACAGATCAGCAGAAAGAGAGACCACACATCAGTGCCACCAATGAACCAGCTGGGTAACCCTGGGCACGGCAATGCACCTCGCCGTGCAGGAATGTGTAACTCCAGGTTCACAGTGAAGATCTGGCAGGTCAGAACAGTTTGTGAAGATCCAGGAAATGCCCAAACCAGCATCCAGTGACAGCATTCCCAGCACGAACTGCCCACCCCATCCACTAACAGCAAATCTGATAGGAAAACACGGTTTGGATGCTGAAATGGCAGAGAAGGTCCAGAGAGCTTTTCAGAACTGACCTAGGAAGAACGATCCAGTAAACAGCCTCTGCAATCATAGAATGGCCTGGGTTGAAAATGACCTCAAAGATCCGTAGTTTCAACCCCCTGCCACATGCAGGGTCACCAACCACCAGGCCAGGCTGCCCAAAGCCACATCCAGCCTGGGAAATGCACAGAAACACATGCTGCTTTCTGAACGATCACAGAAAGAAGGGACAAAACAGAACAGCTTACTGCTCCGTTGGCTGTGCAATCAGAACGAAAAGCTCGTTTAAAACAAGGCTGTAATTTACAGCATGCCCTGCTTTCCCTGCTCAAGTGTCACTACCAGAACCCAGGTACGCAGCTTCGGAGGCAGCCTGAATGTTCTCAAGATGTTCAGATAAGCTGTTCTATAGATAGTAAATGTAATTGGAGACATGTTTTTATTTTGTATAAAACGTGATGTGTTGGTGGGGTGGTTTTTTTTTCTGGAATATGATGCTCTCAGCCTTAAGTCAGAGCAAACACCACCCTCAGCTCACAGAGCACACAAACCACACGAGTGCTGCTTTCACACCGAGCTGCTCGGCCTTCGGGCAGGGCAACACCATGACACAACTCTAGCTGTGCAAACAAAGATCTTTACAGGATCGAAAAACAACTCCAGACCGTACTGGGAAGCTCTAAGAGTTTAAAGATCAGCTGTGAGGGGGATGAGATCAACCACTTAAACAGACCTGCTCGGGTTTGTCTGCTGGGAGAAGTCAGCTGTACCCTCAGCAATGGAAAACTCACTCTCACGGAGGGGCTGTGGTCCATTACAAGTGAACTCACACAAACAACAAAGCCACGGCCTCCACTTACTGCACTTAGGTTTGGAATTTTTCTATTCCAAAGTACAGTAGGATGGATATCCCCCGTTTTCTTCCTCACTGTCATTCAATGGTGGCTCACGTGGTTCTCCAAGCAGTCACTGATATATCAGAAATACAGTCACATGTCAAAAATAATAGAATATAAATGAAAGATTTGAAGTTATGCTCTCTAAACTGACGACTCAGCACTAATAATTAAACCCACAGCAAAAAGAAGCCCAGAAAACAACCAGCAATACTTCTTGTCATTTAAGAGAACCACTCACAACGAAGATGTAATTGCAGTAAAAGGCCGTCCGAATTCCTAACAGCACTGAATACAAAAGCTCCTGAGGAGAACAACACGGTTTTGGCAGTCTGCTCACTTTGGAGAGTCTGGCACTGCAAGGTTGCAAGTTAATCACTAGCACATTAGTGCACAGTCTGGACCAAATAGCATGAGAAAATACAAAGCTGCTAGAGCTGCTTTGGAAAAAACGCATCCAAATCAGAGCTAGTGACTCTCCCGGACTGGGAGTGCTGCAGATTAGATTTTACAACAGCATTTTAAACAAATTACAGCCTTCCTACAAAGTACTTCCTGAAATTGCACGGTAACGAGATGGAAACGTCAATTAATGATTCCAATTTCTGTATTACATACTTACAAACGTGGATCCTCGCCAACGGTTTTAACCAGTGTCAGATGTACGTGGAGCAACACAGCAAAGTGGAAACGGTGGGATTGGGAATATCAGAATAATGTAGAATAATGCTGCTCTACGCACACAGGTTGGGGTGGGGGGGTGTTATGTTTTGTTTTTTAAATTGCTCCCATTTAAGGCAGGATGAGGTTGAAACAGACCTGTTGGGAGAAGTCAGCTGTACCCACAGCAATGTAAAACTCACTTTTGTGGAGGGGCTGTGGGCCATTACAACTGAGCTCACCCAAACTGCAAAGCCACGGCCCTCCACTTCCCATCACTGCACTCTGGTTTGGAATTTTTCTATTGCAAAGTACTGAGCTATGGATATCTCCTGATTTATTCTTCACTGTGATTCAGCTGTGGACTACGCAGCAGAAATTGGTACTTTGACTTGAAAACTTCAGCAATCATCCCTCAACTCCCAGTCAAACTCTGGGAATGTATCTGATTTCCTTGGAAACGTGCATTAAAATTCCAAAGATCGAATCCCACCCTCTGCTGCCTCCATCTCCCACAGAACAAACAGGTGGAGCCCTTTGAGGAAAAACCCTAATGCAGTTGAACTCACTCTCAAACATTCTCCATAAGCAATATGAAGAAGGCTCATCCAAGGGACCAAACTCTGCTGATTTAGCTGATTTCTGTTGCTTCATTGGACCACGTTTCATATTTGGTTTTTGTGACCAGTTCTAAAATTACCATCCAGAAGCTGTGCACAATAGAAGCATTAGTAAGACTGACTTGATCTGTATCAACAGGTGCCAGCAAACAGTCTGCCAATTTCATGCAATTTTACTTCCAAAGCCATTATACTATTTGGCAGTTTACCAACCTGAAAGATATGTTTTAACCCCATGAAGCCAGACTGTAATTACAGAAAACATGTCAAACTGCACCTCCAGTATTTATGCTACAGCAGTTGGAGAGGTGAGCACCTACGCTGCAGCCCTCCATGTCCAGAGCCCCACAAAAGCTGAAATCAGACTGAAGAAATTCAAGCTACAGAAATTGACTTCCAATTTACTCAGTTTTAAAGACAAAAGCCTCTGTGAAGCTCTGCTATTAATACTTCAAGGAGAGTGCACCACTGTTAAAGAATATAAAAGCAGACCCCCTGAAGGACAGTGAGATCAGCTCCGAAAACACAAAAAGGCACACAAACATCCTCTCTATTTTATTAACTTCCCTTGACTTGAGTGGAAAGTGATCATTCTGAGGCACCTTTTCCATTTGTTTTCATTTTCTCAACAGCAAAATAAGGAGTCAGTAGGTGGTGTGGGCCTGGGGCACAGTGCTGGATGGAACAGACCCCATGAGCTCTGCTCCTCCCTGCACACTGTGCTGCTTCTCTGTTGCAGCTTGCAACAGCACCTCTGCTTTCTTTCATACTACATTAAAAAAGTGTCAAACCAATTTAAATGCAAAAACTCCCTGCAGATGTTCTGTTTGCCACACCAAACTCCATTGGCCTGAGGACAGTGCTATTTCAGAGAGAGCACGGCAAGAAGAATGAAATGGTCCCAAGGAAGGTAGATTCCTCGTGCAGGAGTTCGTGCACAGCTCTTCCCCCAGCTGCTAGGGAGACATAACTGGGAAGTTTAATCCACTCTCTATGGCCTCATTCACTCCTCCAATTCACAACCAAGTTCTGACACAGTTCCTCCTATGATTCTTCCTCCTGCAGAGCCTTTTGTTGTCTGAGTGATGTAAGAAGCAGTTGTACATCGTGGACCAAATTACTACAATGCCTGAGGCAGTAGAGGCTCCCCATGACAGCTAGAAACCCTTTACCCACTATCAAAGCATTACTCCATTCCAAGCAGCTGATTTCCCACACCTTAATCATTTCATACTTTAATCACTATAACTCTTTTTGGGCCTGCTAAAATCTCCACAAAATATAATGGGTGATGACATCAACTGCTGTGACAGCGTATCATCAACAGCTACTGCTGCCTTGTGTTCCCAAGAACCTCCTATCTTCCAGTGCACTGCATGCTCTCCTCCACACAATCACCTTTTTCCACACTAGGAAAATTCTGTTCCATGTCAACTAAGATTTCTGCACTTTTTCAGACCCTTCACAATGAAGATTTCCTACTGCCAGCCATGCCTGATCCAACTCTTAGCTAAGCCCTTGCTGCAGCTTTTGTCAATATTGCCAAGTCCATAGGTACAGACCATGTTTTTTTATGCAGGTACCCACTGTACAAACAAACAATGTCATAACAGATGCCCTTTTGCCTGTGACACACAAACGTGAGAGCAGAACAAAGGAAACTTGAGGCAACAAACAGGAATGGGAAAAGAACGAAGGCTGGGGAACTCACTGCATGCTTTACAGGCAGGGCAGCTCCTCCAATTATGATATATTTTTTCTATTGAAGCTGTTAACTGTTGGCAGCAGCAACAAAACTACATTACCATAAAACAGCAGCAGAAGAGCAGCCCTACCTTCATCTCCTTCTGGCGCATAGGAGGCTGTGATGATGTCGATGTCAGCACAGTTCATCACAATCTGGTTGGTGGCATGCTTCACCTGCAAGAGAAACGTCATCAGCATCAGGAATAAGGGAGCACAGGGAGGAGGGCACCCCAATGAGGTAGGCATTTCCACCTCCACTTCATCTATAAGCTCCCACATCACCACGTGCTTCCAAGGGGCAAAGAAGAAAAAGATTTTCCATCGACTGCTCTCGTCCTTTTCAGAACCTGAGTACCTGAATCCCATTCAAACCCTCTGTCCCTGCTTATCAATACTGTAAATTATTTAAGGGAATGGACTGCCTGTTCAATACTTATGCTGGACAATAGGGCCCTTGTACATGCCTGGAAGCTGAGACCAATGAAAACAGATAGAGAGCTGTAGGCTTCCTTTCAGCAGTGACCTAGAGGAGACTGCAGAACAAGTGGAATGCTTGTGAACACAAACCCACACCTCCCAGAGATCACAAGCAGCACAACCTACAGCGCAGCATTCTGCGCTGGTGACACTATAAGAAGTTCTTAGGTTAAAAACATCTGCCAAGAAATTCCCTTTACATTTTCCTGAAAGCTTTCCTTCTGCCAGCTCTTGGCTACACACGCTTTGCTTTATTTAACAAGTGGCCAGCTCCCAGCGTAGTAACAAACTGCCTCCCTGTGCCAGCTCCCTATTTGGATGCAAGAGCTTGAACACAGAAGAATTCAAATTAAATATCAATTAATTACAAAGGGGCTAAATATTTGGGAACTAAACTAGGAATTATTCAGAACCTTAGGGCTGCAGCCACCCAAACCAGCACGTTGGATGGAGCCGGACAGCACTTCAGACAGCAGGCAGTGCCAGTTCTGCAGAGAAAACAGAACCTCTCCAACAGCCAACTGCATCTTAACAAAGCCACTACCATACCCAGACGCTTCATTCCTTAAAGCATGAGGACTTGCAGCCCTTTCTTGATTGCCTTTTTGCTCTTGTAAGGTGCCCTGTTAGCCCCTGTGCCTGTCCCTGCTACCAGCAGAGCCACAGCAAACCAAGTGTGAGCATCAGTGCTGGGGACACTTCAGGCATCCAAGGAGGTGAGCCCAGCAGCTCTCAGCCCAGAGCCCTCCTGCCCTGGCTGACTGAAGGAATGCTTCCTTAGTCATTGTGTACACAAAACCCAAATCTGGTCGGTGATGAGAGGCTTAAGAAATTTAAACGTGTAACTTAATAGCAGCACAAGCATCGTAAGAATGGGCTGTCTAATCTAATAATCTGCCTGCCCAAGTGCTAAAACCTGATTGCCCAAGGAAAGCCATCCCCCTCAGATGCTTCACTGGACACAAACCTCCCCCAGGAGTTTCTCCATTCTCTCATCACCTCCCTTGCTGCTAAAGCAAGCAGTTGCAGCTCACTCCAGCAGCAGAGCTGGCCGTGCACTGAGCACCCAGCTCCTTCCCCCATGGTGCCCCCGAGGGTCACAGAACCAAACCAACAGCACCCAAAGACCTGCTTGGGATTCCACAGAAAGGGATACAACACACTTGCAAGGCATGAAGCTAACAGATGGAACAGCTGCAGAACTCAGGCTGGAGCCGATGCTTCCAGTACAGACTTGCAATCTGAAATCCACGTTTTCCATTTGGTGTGCATGAAACCAAAGGATTGCAACACCTCCCAAAAGACAGAGATCCAAGCCCAATGATTTTCATCACAATTCTAAGGTTTGGGGTTTTTCGAGGTCTTCTAAAACACAGAAAAATCAGGATGAGAAAATCTTTTTATAAAAGAGTACTTGTAAAGACCTTTATTCAATCTACAAATCCAAATCTCTCTGGATTAAGAATTCAAGATGCATAAATAGTTGTCCAAATTGCAGACAATACTGGATTTAACAATAGACTTGATCTGTAAAAAATGAACTCTTCTGAGGACAGAGGAATTTCCAGCACAGCACTGTGCTGCAGAGTAAGAAAGTTTACGTTTAAGTGGAGACAAATTCAGAGGTTCCTTAAGAAGGCAATTACCTATTCTTAGATTTTCCTTGCCTCCTACAAACAGTGTTATGGAAGAGGCATTTAAAGGGACTGAGTGAGCCAGGAGATGGAAAAATGTTCTCTGAAAGATGAAAGGTAAAACTCAGTGCATGGATGCAGACATGGACCATGCACTGCACAGTGCACTTCTGAGGCTCTGCTAATTGAATTGTGGAAGGAAAGTTCTCACGTTGGTGCAGAGGTCCTGGCCAAGAGCTGCTCCCTCCGATCGCTCAGATCATCAACAACAGACACACCTGTAGGAAAAACACCAGCACAGAACCACAAACCACCTGTGTGCTTTGCTTCTAGGCTGTTTATCTCATGAGAAACTGCAGCACAGCCCCACTGGGTATGGAAGGAAGGAATGAGCTGCAAAGCTTTAAGCTTGCTGCTTCCCACGGAGCTCCAGCAGTGTTCAGAGCCAGCACTGCCCCACAACACACTGCAGACATTGGGACGCTTTGGTGCTGATGCTTCCCCAGTCCAGCACATCCCCTTTCCACACTCAGCACTTGCTGCTGGGAAGGCAAATCTCACCCCCAACAGGAGATGACAGCTAAAGCTGCACCCAAAAAGTTTTCCCAGGGAATATCGTGCTGCACAGAAGGGCTGAAAAGGCTGATTACTCAACTATTGTGCACACCACAATGTTCATTTAGCACAAAAAGATGAAATCACTCTTGCCTTAGTGCTGTACAGCTCCTTTCCTCCCCTCGTGTTCCAGTTACATTTCCTCCTATGGGCAGGCTGAGCCCGGGGGCAGGGGCTGTGAGCACGGTGGCACCTACACTGTTATTCTGACAGTGAGAAACAATGAAGACTTCTGCAGAGCTGTGCCAAACATGACTCAAAGATGCTGTGAGGCCGTTTATTTTCTCTAGCAGGAAAAGACTTGATGGAAAAACTTTTTTCAGGACATGAGAAACAAGATTTTGAATGGCTTCAGTGGAATGCCAGCCTACCTGAAATGCAGCACTGGGTGCTCCAGAAGACACCTTCTGCAGCCAAAACTAATTCTCCAGGGCCTTTTGCAGGTCCAGGTAATTACATCTTGTAACTCTGCTTCAGAATACTTTCCTTAATGCAGCGTTACATCCAGCACGCACACTTTCAGCTTTTACCCTCTAAAAATAGTCAAGTAAAATTACTTCAGTTCTCTTCTAAGATGCAGCTTTTTAAGAATTCCTAAATACAATGAGGAGAGTATGAAAAGGTTTTATTAATTTGCATCTTAGAGGAAATCACGGTAGCCAAGTAGTAAAACTACCACTGCCAAGGCTATTAGGCCCACTGGAAAAACCCACTTCATCCCAGTGACCATCCCAGCTACATCCATCTGCAGCAGTCACACATGCTTCAGAAGAGAACAATCTGCATGGACAAGCAAATCCCTCTGTAACTGTAATTAATGCAATCACCTTAGCACTGTGAAATACAGAGCTGGAGGGGAAAGGAGCAAAGATTCCTACTTACTGAGAAGCAGCAGGCTGCAACACTCAGCACAGCACCTTTAATGCTCACGTTACCCAAATTCAGCCCTAATTTAATGGGCTGCAAATGTAAACTACGAAGCTGGATGACATGACACTCACCAACTCCTGCCCACCCCAGGAGATGCTGAGCACAAATACTACACCTATTACAGCTTAATGTTTCAAGGTTTACATACTGGAGTGTCAATCTTTAACTGGCATGCAGTGAGATCGGAAGACTGCGTATCTTTAGCTTAGCTCACTCTGCCTTATCAGCCTATTAAAAGCAACAGATACAGGTTAAACATTGCTAAATATAACAGAGTATCCCTAAGACACATTAAAAGGACTGGGAAAGATCCGTGAATGAGCCATCCACCTCAGGTTGTAAATTCCTTACTGTACAAGATGTGTTGCTTTGCAGTTTGTGAGGGGTGAATCACTGCTACACTCCCCAAAGACAGCAGAAGGGAGGGCAGCACTGCACCTACTGCCCTGCACAGACAGCTGAGTGCTCAGAGCTGTGACAGCACTGAGAATTCCCTCCTGGAGGCTCACAGAATGCTGAGCTTCAGCAGCCAGATGTGTTTCTGTGTTACTCACGCCTGCCTTTCAGCACAGTGCAGGAGAACAGGCTGACAGCACATCCCCTCTTCGTCCCACACCCTCCAGCAGCAGAGTGGCACAAAGCACTGACCCAACCACTGAGCAACAGGAGTGCACGGTGCTGATAACTGCACCCCGAGCACCAGGGCTGCAATAAATCAATCTCCAGCAAACAGATGAATAAAGGAGATTAACTGCTTCCACTCAAAAAAAAAGAAAAATAAAAAAAACCCAACCCAAATCTTCATTGTGCTCGTTCTGAAACATCCACACACCCAAATGAATGGTTCACAACTCCAGGAGTGCAGCTGTTGGAGGACTATAGCAGAGTGCTGCTCCAGACCCACAGCTGACACACAGGATCTGCTCCTCCCCATGTCCTGGCTGTGACCAAAGGCCTATTTCACAAAGAACCTGCAAGGATTCCTGGTTTTTAAACCATGCCAATGGAAAACTGTCCGTTTATATAATTGTTACATAATTCTACAGGCTTCCAACATGCCCCTATGACCACGATTTACATGATTTAAGAATCTCAGGTAACCACTCAAAACTTCATATTTAGGCTGCCACACACTTAACAAGCTAAGGTATTAAATGTTATCATGGGACAGATTAGAGCATTGCTCCTTTATCACGGAACAACAATTAGCAGACAGAGGGTCACTTCCCTAACTTGAAAACTTGAAGTGCCATAATAAACTACAGGCACGTATTCTTTCTTTTTAAGCCTCTGAAATCAGCCTGCCCACTGCTGACACTGAAGCAACCTCCTTATCTTTTGAATCATGAAGGGCTTTATTCTCTGACGCTTATCTGAAGCCGTGCAAGAGATGCATCATTTCTTACTGGGGCAAAAAAAAAACAAAGTGTTTTGTTAAGTTCCTTACAGGCGCCTCCCTGAGCTCAGTGCCCACAGCCAGGAGGGGCACGGAGGGCCCTTCTTCAGGGCCTGGTGCTCAAGTTGAAAGGCTTAAACTCTACACAGAAAGCTGCCAAACCCTGCTCAGAGTCAGCAGCACAAACTCACCCATCAGGTGTTTTGCTCCTGGTGTCTTGACTAAGAATTACAGCCTTCGCTAATTCCAGTTTGCTGTTAAATATGCAAAATAGCAAACAAACATTTTTCAAGTGTATAAACGAAGTTCCCATCGTTTAACCCTGATTCATTTTGGTGTCACGATTTCAGTACTCACCCTGCAAGCAGAAAGCATCACCCCTTCCACTCTTTAAGGTGGATTACCACTTGCCCAGCCATAATCGTACTGGAATGGGGCAGAGGGACTAACGATTATGTTCTATTAATTATTAAAAACAATTTCTGGACTTTCAGGAAGAAGCATTCTGTCTAACGATTATTTTCATTCCTTACCCAAAATCCTAAAAAATTCAGTTTGTCTTAATGTTAAATTACTTCCACCTCCATGCCTGCACAAGGGATGCTGAAAACAGGATGAACCCCACTCTACTTTGTGAAAGCTGCTAGTAGAAATGGTCAACAAGTGCTTAACTGAACCAATGAGATCCAAAAGCACGCAAGCTATTTTTCCTAGACTCAATCTCAACTCGGTAAGACATAACTAGCAAACGTCAGCACATTCTCATTAAGTAAACCATTCCTTTGCACCTAGCATTGTTGGAGAGCTGGTTCTTCTTCTCCCCAGTAGGAGCAGAAGTTACCCTCTCATTTTCTGGAGCATGCCTTCACAAGGCTGGGGACACCAGCAGCCAAGCAAGCTTCAGGTCTGCAGCACTCACCACATCCACCTTCTGCACACACCTGGATATAGCCTGGAAATTCTTCCATCTATGGCTGTTATGTTACTTAGAGGCTTAAGAATAAAAATGCATCATATTAGAGGCTTTTCAAAAACATCCCCCTACTCTGTTTCTCTCTCCCATGGGAACAACACGCTCACCACAATGAGAGCTGAACTGGTGACAACCTTGAACTCTCTACATCAATACTCTTCCTTATGCCCTCAGCTGGTCAGAAAGTCCAGAATGCTGCACTGTCAGGTGGTACCTCTGCTCTAAGAGATCATTGAGCAATCCCCTGAACAGCAGCAAAGAGCATTACCATATCCCAGCGGGGCTAAAATCCACAAACCCCACACCAAACCCGTAAGAAGGCTCCGAACCAACACAATTCCTGGAATTAAACGAAGTTTCCACGGCTGCAGCTCAACACCACTCACTCCCAGCAGCCAGCCTGGCTTAAAAACCCGTCGCTCCCCTCCCCCCGTGTTATTTTTAACCGGGCTGATTGCAGTGATCCCATTTGCAGTGCAGCCCCACAGCTGTACCAGGGCCGAGCAGCAGCACTTGGGCGCGAAGACAGGAATGGGATCGAGGTGGAAGAGATGGGGAATTTCTGCAGCTCCAAGGCAGCAGCACGTTGTGGGAGGACCGGTGCTGTACGGACACCGGCACGTACATTTACACCCTTTTTTTTTTTTTTTTCTTTTCAGGATTTCTTCCACATGACACAAACTTACTCATCCTCCTGCGGGTCCACGGTCACGAGGGCTCACAGCTCAGCCCCCAAGAGGGTCCCATAGTGCTGCAACCCACGGGGCTCTGGCAGCC